AAAACAAACAAAAAAAAAAAAATAGAATCCAATGGATTCTTAATTGCTCAGGCTGGACACCGTAATTAGTTTAGTCTCTTATTTCAACCCAGGTTATTTTCTTCCTATGAGAAGTAGCTTAGATTTTCTTGCCTTTTAACTTCTACTCGTGGCACTGTAAACCAGGGCCCCAATTTTTAAATTATTTATTTGTTTGTTTATTTATTTTATTGAGACAGGCTCTCACTCTGTCACCCAGGCTGGAGTGCAGTGGCATGACCTTGGCTCACTGTACCCTCTGCCTCCCAGGCTCAAGCAATCCTCTCACCTCAGCCTCCCAAGTAACTAGGGCTATAGGCATGTGCCACCATACACAGCTAGTTTTTTGTGTTTTTGGTGGAGACGAGTTTTCCCTATGTTGCCCAGGCTGGTCTCTGAAACACCTGAGCTCAAGCGATCCACCCACCTTGGCCTCCCAAAGTGCTGAAATTACAAGCATGAGCCACTGCACCAGCCTTATTTTTTATTTTGAGACAGGGGCATGCCCTGTCACCTGGGGTGGAGTGCAGTGGCTCAATCACAGCTCACTGCAGCCTTGACCTCCTGGGCTCAATTGGTCCTCCTCCCTCTGCTTCCCAGAGTGTTGGAATTATAGGTGTGAGCCCCTGCTGAGGTCTCAGATTTAGATTGCTATAATTCCCAATTGGAATAGCTCACTCTGTTTTTTCTTTTTATAAATCAAATGGATTTTTAAAATTATAGCTTTATTGTGATATAATTCACATACCATGAGATTCACCCCTTTAAAGTGTGTAGGTCAGTGATTTTTTCATATATTCAGAGAGTAGTATTAGACAGTTGTAACACTATCTAATTTCAGAATATTTTCCTCACCCAGCAAGAAACTTCATACCCATTAACAGTTACTCCCCATTCCCTACTCCTTTCAGTACCTGGTAACCATTAATCTAATTTCTATTTCTATGGATTTTTTATATCCTGCATAGTTTGCATAAGTGGAATCATGCAATATGGCACTGGCTTCTTTCACTTAGCATCATGTTTTCAAGGTTAATCATGTTGTAGCATGTATCAATACATCATTCTTTTTTACCATTGAGTAATATTCCATTGTATGGATATACCACATTTTGTTTAATTATTTATCAGTTGCTGGACCACACTGGATTTTATTTATTTATTTGTTTATTTATTTGAGACAGACTCTCACTCTGTCAGTTGCTGAACCACACCAGATTTTACTTATTTATTTATTTATTTTTGAGACAGATTCTCACTCTGTCTGCCAGGTTGCAATGCAGTGGCATGATCTTGGCTCACTGTAACCCCCACCTCCTGGGTTCAAGCAGTTCTCATGCCTCAGCCCCCCGAGTAGCTGGGACTACAGGCATGTACCAACACACCTGACTAGTTTTTGTATTTTTATTAGAGATGGGGTTTCTTTTACTAAAACTCCTGTTGGCCAGGCTGGTCTCAAACTCCTGACCTAATATGATACACCTGCCTTAGCCTCCCAAAGTGCTGGGATTACACGCCTGAGACACCACGCCCAGCCACTGGGTTTTAATTCTTTATCTTCTCTCTTTATTTTATTTTTTTGAGATGGAGTCTCATTTTATTGCCCAGGCTGGAGTGTAGTGGTGTGATCTCAGCTCACTGCAACCTCTACCTCCCAGATTCAAGCAATTCTCCTGCCTCAGGTTCCCAAGTAGCTAGGACTATAGGTGCACGCTGCCACACCCAGCTAATTTTTTGTAGTTTAGTAGAGATGGGGTTTCACCGTGTTGCCCAGGCTGGTCATGAACTCCTGAGCTCAGGCAATTTGCCCACCTTGGCTCCCAAAGTGCTGGAATTACAGGCATGAGCCACCATGCCTGGTCTAATGCTTTATTTTCTTAAAACTTCTGACAAACCCTTGCTATTACTCTCTGTACTTTACTATAGGCAATAGAAACTTCTTTGATTTAGAAGTTCCCTATCAGCCTGGCATGGTGCCTCATGCCTGTAATCCCAGGACTTTGGGAGGCCAAGGTGGGCGGATCACCTAAGGTCAGGAGTTCGAGAGCAGCCTGACCAACATGGAGAAACCCCATCTCTACTAAAAATACAAAATTAGGCGGGTATGGTGACACATGCCTGTAATTCCAGCTATTCGGGAGGTTAAGGCAGGAGAATCATTTGAACCTGAGAGGTGGAGGTTGCAGTGAGCCAAGATTGCATCATTGCACTCCAGCCTGGGCAACAAGAGTGAAACTCTGTCTCAAAAAAAGAAAAGTTTCCTATCATTCAGTATTATCTTTCTATTCCTGCTAAAACAGATCCCCTTGGGTTGAACTTCTTTTAGTATTCTCTGTAAGTAGCATATCTTTTCCCTCATTAGGCAATATATTCTGCCTATCCAAAGCCATTTGTTATTTGAGTTCAAGGCCTGTCTAATCCATGAGACCTGATACTAATATATTTTTCTTCCTTCCCTGACAACAAATACCATTTATATCATGTACACTATAAAAACTCAGATTTAATAGTATACCATCTGATGGTTTTACCCTTTTTTAGTTGCCAAAAGGTTGTCTTGTTTCTATTCAAGCTATTTAGGAGCTGGCTGGGAAGAGAACTTTTCTCATTTATTCATTTTAACAAGCATTTTTTGCAAGTCCCACTTAGAAGGATTCTTAAAAAAATACAAGGCATTCTCGGCCCTCAGGAGTTGAGTCAGTTCTCATTGTAGGATAAGGAATTTGGAGGTTTAGGGCCTTATTGTTGTGATTTCCTGCTCAACATTTTATTATGAAAATTTTCAAATAGGAAAGTTGAAAAAAAATTTACAGTCAATACCACATACCTACCACCAAGATTATCACATTTGTTGTTGTTAACATATTATTTGCTTTGTTGGCATGTTGTTTTAATTACTTTATCATGTATTTCTTCATCTAGCTATCTATCAATCAATCTTACTTTTTTGATGCATTTCCAAGTAAGTTGCAGGCATAATTACATTTCACCCCTACACTTTTAGCATGTATGTTATGTCATTAACTAGAATTTAATATTTATTTTAGTTTTTAAAAGAAAATGTTACATACAGTGAAATGTGCAACTCTTATATGTACCATCCAGTTCATTTTAACAGATCCATTCACTTGTCTAACCCAAATTCCTATTGATATGGAACATTTCTATCACTCTAAAAAGCTCTCTGCCCTTAGTTTTTAAAAGTTACCATTTTTAAACCCTAAAAATTAATCAATTCACTTGTACCAGTGTTCTGAAGTAAAAGCAGGGACTTAGAGATCAATTTATTAGGCAGCTTGAAATAAATCCTTTTTGGTCAAGGGAGGTAATTAGTATAAAAGCAGAGCTCAAATAGATGGAAACCATAGTACCAGTTGTAAAGACAAAGATGATTTCCCTCCTGATCAAGGATCTCCTTGATCTCCAAGGGTTATACTTTAAAAACTGAGAAAATGTAGTATTTCAAATAATCTTTTCAGTTATATCACTGGGTACAGATTTTCTCTGCAGCAAATGCAGAGGAATGAAACCTGGAACCTCAGAGTTGACAGTAAAGAAATTATGAAATGGATGTATTAGGAAGACAGATTTTGTGGTGGTTTATAAAAGGATAGGCATGGAGAGTTATAGGATCCTAAGATGGACTATGATCCTGTCGCATTTGTATCTGTGCCTAACACAGTCCTGCTCACTTACTTTTTTATTTTCTAAGCAGCCGTCCTAGATGGGCTTTCCTCATTCTCTGGACTTACCACCCACATACTCTGGATCTGCAGTGTTCAGTATAATTTATTCACTCCTCCCTTTCTCCATTTTGGGTCTTGTTCCCAGGATACAGGACTGATTTCAAAACAGAGTTATGTGTAACTTATATTTCTTTCTTCATTCCTACTGTAGCAGTTTGTTTCAACAGGAAGGAATAGGGGACTTTTGCACTTTGGATTTCTTTCAGACTGGAAGACCAGGCCTGAATTCAAATCATCACATCTGCAGCAGGATGTATCCCACTGTACAGATGATCTCTCACGTGCTACATTAGAAGACTCCTGGGATGTTAGCAGCCAGTTAGACAGGCAACAAGAAAACTGGAAGAGACATCTGGGATCAGAGGCATCCACCCAGAAGAAAATAGTCACACCACAAGAAAGTTTTGAGCAAAATAAATTTGGTGAAAACTCAAGATTGAACACTGATTTGGTTACACAACTGAACATTCCTGCAAGAATAAGGCCTAGTGAATGTGAGACCCTTGGAAGCAATTTGGGACAAAATGCAGACTTACTTAATCAGAATAATATTCCTGCAAAAAAGAAACCCTATAAGTGTGATAAATGTAGAAAAGCCTTTATTCACAGATCATCACTTACTAAACATGAGAAAACTCATAAAGGAGAGGGAGCTTTCCCTAATGGAACAAATCAGGGAATTTATCCTGGAAAGAAACACCACGAATGTACTGACTGTGGGAAAACCTTTCTCTGGAAGACACAGCTTACTGAACATCAGAGAATTCACACTGGGGAGAAGCCATTTGAATGCAATGTGTGTGGAAAGGCCTTCAGGCATAGCTCATCTCTTGGTCAGCATGAGAATGCCCATACCGGAGAGAAACCCTATCAGTGTAGTCTCTGTGGGAAAGCCTTCCAGCGCAGCTCCTCCCTTGTTCAACACCAGCGAATTCACACTGGAGAGAAACCCTATCGATGTAATCTATGTGGGAGGTCCTTTAGGCATGGCACATCCCTCACTCAACATGAGGTCACACATAGTGGAGAGAAGCCCTTCCAGTGTAAGGAATGTGGCAAAGCCTTTAGTCGATGTTCTTCCCTTGTCCAACATGAAAGGACTCATACTGGAGAGAAACCTTTTGAATGTAGCATATGTGGGAGGGCTTTTGGTCAGAGCCCATCCCTTTATAAACATATGAGGATTCATAAAAGAGGCAAACCTTACCAAAGCAATAACTACAGCATAGATTTCAAGCACAACTCATCTCTCACTCAAGATGAAAGCACTCTTACTGAAGTGAAATCCTACCATTGTGATGACTGTGGGGAAGACTTTAGTCACATTACAGACTTTACTGACCATCAGAGGATCCATACTGGAGAGAATCCCTATGATTGTGACCAGGCTTTTAATCAGCAAGCTATTTCTCATCCTGGAGAGAAACCCTATCAATGTAATGTATGTGGAAAAGCTTTCAAAAGGAGTACAAGTTTCATAGAGCATCACAGAATTCATACTGGAGAGAAACCCTATGAATGTAATGAGTGTGGAGAAGCCTTTAGTCGACGCTCATCGCTTACTCAACATGAGAGAACCCACACTGGAGAGAAACCGTATGAATGTATTGACTGTGGGAAAGCCTTTAGTCAAAGTTCGTCCCTCATTCAGCACGAGAGAACTCATACTGGAGAGAAGCCCTATGAATGTAACGAATGTGGGAGAGCTTTCCGAAAGAAAACCAACCTGCATGATCATCAGAGAATTCATACTGGAGAAAAACCCTATTCTTGTAAGGAATGTGGGAAAAACTTCAGCCGAAGTTCAGCTCTTACTAAACACCAGAGAATTCACACTCGAAATAAACTCTAGGAACCTTGAAGTTAACGAATTTTCAGAATGCTTTAGCTAACGTGTTGTTCTGATTCAGGATCAGAGGATTCTTGAAGAGAGAGAGTTTGGGAATGTAATGAATTATGTGTGTGTTTGTATGTTGTGTGTGGAGAAAACTGCCAATAGATAGATGTTTTTTTTTTATATAAATAAAAGCCACATTCTCAGATCTGATTACAGACTGGTGTGAAAACATTTACATATATCGTATGTAGCTGGTTGAAAATTAAATGTCTGTATATTGGACTTTATAAAGCTTTTGAATATATGTATGCAGGAGATCATCAAGTTTCAACATCTTGACTTATAACCCCCAATGTTAACAGCTTAAAAAAAAATAAATTCCTGCAGTAATGACCAAAAATCATTTTAAAAATTGCTTGACAACTGCACCCAACTGCAGCTCTTACATTAACTTCACCGTGGAAACCAGTTCCACCTCCAGGAAGTCACCATTCAAAGAATTAGATTAGCTAGCCCAACCGCTTCATTGTACAGATGAAGAGACTGAAAGCCAAAGATGTGAAGTGGTTTCCACAGTATGATACAACCTATAGGGGTAAAGCTGGGTTAAGAATGCAGGTTTCCTGGATTTGGGGCCCCATGGCCTTGTCAGAGAAAAGGTATTTTAGAACTCAGAGGGCTTTAAAATAAATTTTAAGATATATCAGATACCCAAACATTTAATGAGCACCTATGGGTTGGACACTTTGGGAATTCCTAAAAGCATAAGTGGTAGCAAAATGTATGCAAATTTATCACAAACTGTTTAAAGCAACTTCTTGGAGGCGTACAAACCACAATTTAACAGAAACTGTAGATGGTTGAACTACTAGTGACTTTTTTTCCTTTTCCCAGTTACACTTATTATACTTTCAGCTAATATATGCCAGTTTCACAGAACTATTAAGTCCTCTTATTGTGATTTTTATGGCATGCCCATGAAAAAGCACTAGCTTAAGCCTGCAATATCAGATCAATGGCAAAACAACACAAAACTAAGAGGAGAATTTTCCCCTGTTAATTTTATTGTGGAAAAGTATAAGTCTAATTGCCCATTGCCATAAATTTTGTCTTTTACTCAATTTAGAGTAACACCATATACTGGCTCATTTTGTGTGTAAAGAAAATATTTCGCCATTAAAAAAATTAACTTGGCTAGGTATGGTGGCTCACACCTGTAATCCCAGCGTTTTGGGTGACTAAGGCACATAGACTGAGCCCAGGAGTCCAGGACCAGCCTGGACAACATGGTGAAACCCCACCTCCTTAAAAAAAATCCAAAAATTAGTGGTACATGGTGGCATGCAGCTGTAGTCCCAGCTACTCAGGAGGCTGAGGTGGGAGGATTGCTGGAACCCAGGAGTGGAGACTGCAGTGAGCTGAGGTCACAATACTACACTCCAGCCTGAGCAACAGAGCAAGACCCTGACACACACAAGTCAACTAAAATTTAGTTTTGTAATACCTTTCCGTCAGCTAAGCTTCAGTGGCCACACCATCCTGTAATGCCTCCCATGGACTATCCTAAAGGAATTTTTGGTCTGTTGACATTGACCATGCAGACAAATTTGGGCACAACTGGACACTGATCTCTTTTGTACAAGAGCTGCCTCCCAAAGATAGGTAAATTTTCCCAGCCCTAAATATGAATTGTGGGGCAAGATGATATTAGTGGTATTAATGGTGAACCTTTCCTACTGGCTTCTTTGCTTGCCTTTCTCTCATCCTGGATGGCATGAGGCAGCACCAAAACATTCTTCATTCTTTGCAGGGAAAAAAAAATGTGCATGGGGGCTGAAATATAGTATGTATAGCTCTATTAGTCTGTCCTCTGTGATGCAAAATGAAATATTCCATAGCAGATCTGCCCTTCTGAGATGCTGACCATCCAAAAACCCTTGTTTTTGGTACTCCATGATTAGGTCATACACTGTGCCAAGGCCATACTTGTATTGTCTGATAACATAGCTTGACAATGGGTAATTCTACTCACACCCTCCCTACTGATTGGCTAGGATGCCTGTCAGGAACTCATTTTGCTACTGGTTGTTTGGGGGTCCCCATAGTGAACTGCTTTCAGGAATGGCAAGAATTGTAACCAATTGAGTGCTGCCCCCACTGTTAATGGAAGTTTATAAAAACTTAGTTCCAGAAGATCCAAAGGAGACCACTGGTTTAAGTTTGGAGCCTGGCCTAGATCCAACCACCATCCTCTGAACTGCAGCACATCATCATTGACAGGGAGGGAGCTTAGGATGTATGTGTGGCTCATTGACAAGGTTTTCTTTTTTTTTTTTTTTTTTTTTCCACTTAAGATTTCAGAGGACAGAAGGTTTTCTTAGTCCCAGCAGCCATACACTATGCACTTATAGATACCCACCCTTTTAGGGCTATGTGAAATGCATCCTTGTAACATCATTGTATTCTTTCAATAAATAGCTTTCTGAGTTGAATGGGAGTCAGTTTGTCTTTTTCAATTTTCAGAACTTGGCTAAGATTAAAGAGTGATGCACCAAGAAGGAGGAATTAACTGCTAAACTCATCACAGCCAGGTGAGTTAATTATAGCTACCATTTACTGAATGCTTACTAATTTAAAGACATTCTGCTAAGTGTTTCACATCTGTCGTTTCATTCAATCCTTATAACTCCTGGTTAGTGGTGTTGTGGTAGCTATTGTCTTTGTCTGCCCAGCATTTTCCACCTTTTCCAACAGTCTGACTGTACTGACTGTAGGAACCTGTCAGGATGTCCCTGGAGCTCACTGATAGTTCTAGGGGCAGGCATGAGACCTAGTTCAGCTAATCAGAGTCCTTTGCCAGAATTTTTTCAAAGTAGAGCTGGAAGGAGCTCTACTTTGCTCTTTTCTGTTGGTAGGCCAAAAAGATAAAGACCTAGAGCTTCCTGGAACCCAATTTCTTAATCAGAGATGGGAAGTAGGAGAGGACAAGGTTGATGTGATGGTGTTCTTGTTTCTGTTCCCTGATGTCCTTGGACCTGGCCTAATTTCTGAAGCTCTCTGGAATTTAGGGAGCTTCCCATCAGTCCAACAATTTATCCTTTTGCTCAAGCTAGTTTTTTATGTTTCTTTGCTTGCATTAAAGAAACCTGAAATATGTATGATATACTTGTATCTACCAGAGCATCTAGCACAACTCCCTGGAAGATATGAAAAAACTTCTGCACTTTTAGGCGTATTGATGGTGGTGATGCTTGGTTTTTATAGCTGCAATAGGCTTTTCAGTATTCTGACTTCAAGATTGAGCACCTTTTAAAAATGCTAAGGTGGTTAATTCCTACTCGTCTGTTAAAATGCAAATGGTGCTTCAGGAAAGGTTTTGCTGACTCTCCTATTTCAATTACATTGGTCTCCCTTTTAAAATTTTTCATAGATTACTGTCAGTGTCCTCCATGTTACCATAATTTGCATTATTTGGTTTTTTCCTGCACTAGATGATGAGATCCAGGAAGGCAAGGGTCCATGTCTGTTTTGATAGCTCTTTTTATTACCCTGCTAATTAATGCCAAGCATATGGTAGGTACTTAATATAGTGTTTTAAGTGAGCAATTGAGTGGAGATTGACCAATAGATAAAGAAGACTGGCCAGCAAATAAAAAGGTGCTCAATCTGGAAGCCAGAATATTGCAAAATAAAACAATGTAATATGGTTTTATACCAAGTAGGCTGGCAAACGTTGAGAAATCTGGCAGAGGGGTATTAGAACTTTTATACACTGCTGGAAAGAGGGTGATTTGGTATAATCATTTTGGGGATTAATTTGGCAATATCCAGTAAAATCAAAGCTAAGCATATCTCATGTCTCAGCAGTTTCACTTGGAGATATATATCCTAGACTAGAAATTCTCCCGTGTGATCAAAAGAGACAAATACAAAGGTGTTTATTGAGGCAGTGTTTTAAAGAGTAAAAATATGAACACAACAGAAATATTGGGGAGTGAATAGGTTAACAGTAAGTTGTGACATATTCTTTTTGAGACAGGGTCTTACCCTGTCACCCAGGCTGGAGTGCAGTGGTACGATCTTGGCTCACTGCAGCCTCCCCCTCCCAAGTTCAAGCAATTCTCATGCTTCAGCCTCCTGAGTAGCTGAGACCACAGCTGGATGTGCTGGACCATATCCAACTAATTTTTATATTTTTAGTAGAGATGGGGTTTTGCCATGTTGGCCAGGCTGGTGTCGAATTCCTGGCCTCAAGTGATCCACCACCTTGGCCTCCCAAATTGCTGGAATTAAAGGTGTGAACCACCATGGCTGGTCAATCATGGCATATTCTTATAATTTAACATATAGTTTTTAAATGAAGGAATCAGAGCATCTGGCAAAACAATAAACAAGAAAAGCCTAGTGCTGTCTATTCCTTTCCTATGTCCATGCAGCTCAATGTGACTGAAGAAAAACAGAACTATGACAGTTAGTCCCACTTTAATTTCTTGTATGCTAACCTCCAGCATTTGTTTTCCTACTCTAGTCATTGTCCCACTGTTTTAGGTTGCTATTTTATGACTTCGCTCTTTAACCTCCACACTTCACCCATTCCTCACTCAGCTGGTAACCTTATTTCCTAGTTAACTAAGAACAATTAAAAGGAATTAGAAGAGGCCAGGTGCAGTGGCTCACACCTGTAATCTCAAGACTTTGGGAGGCCGAGGCAGGCGAATTGCTTGAGCCCAGGAGTTCAAGACCAGCCTGGGCAACATGGCAAAACTCTGTTTCTTGCAAAAAAACTATGTATTAGTCAACTTTGCCTAGGTTATGCTATGGTAACCAATGGCCCCATATCTCATGTTTTTATAATAAAGAACCTTTGTTTCTTGCAAAAAAAAAAAAAAAAAAAAGCTAATCTCATAACCTGGTCTCAAAAAAATAATTATTATTATTTTAAAAAAGAAATTGGAAGATAATTCCTCTTCTCTGTTCATGTTATTCTTGCATTCTTTCTGTTGCTATGGTTGACACTTTGTTCTCTTATCTGAGACCAAATCCTCTAGTATATTAGATCCCATCCTTAAACTATGGCATCATTCCTACAGCTGTTCTCTTTCCTGCATCTTTTTTCTTATCTACTGGATCTTTCCCATTAGCATAATAACATGTATTTTTCTCATCTCAAAGATATATATATATATATATGTTTTATATTCCCCTCTACCTACCTACCACTCCATTTTTTGCATCAGTTAATAGCAAGATTCCTCAGAAGAGGTGTGGAATATTCATTGTCTCTAATTCCATTCTTCCATTCACTCTTGCACCCTCTCCAATCAGATCTTTTTGTCTGCTCTTGTCAAGGTCCCTGATGGATTCCATGTGGCTAAATCCAGTGGTCCTTTTCAGTCCTATTGATGCAGGGCAGATGAGTCCATACAGGTGCTTTGCTTCTCCCAGGAAAGAATCCAAGGGCAAGCCAGTGGTATTAGCAAGTTTTATTGAACTGGAATTGCTTCTTGTGAAGCACATCCAACTCCTAAGCAGTGCACTCCAAGTGAGCATTTGTGGACAGTTGGCTAGCTACATTTATACCTATTTTTAATTACATGCTAATAGAGGGGAGGGTTATGCAGAAATCTCTAGGAAAAGGGTGGTAATTTTTGGTCATTGTCATAGAAAGAGGTGGTAACTTCTTGTTCATTGCCATGGTATTAATGTCATGGTGCAGGTAGGAGTGTCTTATGCTAATGAGCAACGAGAGAAGCTAGAGGTTGCTTTCAGCACTGTCTGCTGGTTCCCATGGTTTCTTCACTTTATCCTGTTGAGACTGGGAAATAAGTTCTGCTGGTATCCTACCTCACTTTTACTGGTCTTTTCAACATTGTTTGATAACAGTTGATCACTTCCTCACACCCATTTTTTTCACTTGGCTTCCAGGTTATACTTACTAGATTTTCTTATCCTTTATTGACAGCTACTTCTCCCAAATGATCTTTCCTAGCTCTAGAGATAGGAATTCCCCAGGGCTCAGTTCTGTGGAAGGGCTATGTATGCAAAGCAACCCTCAAAAGCCGAAGGAGCTGAGAAACCAAAGAATGAGGCAGACAAATCCAGCTTGTCTGTTTGGGTAATTTTTTAGGAGGAACTTAGAGACAGAATTGTGGTCTTGGGTAGCCAAAAGGTAGATCTTCGCACCACACCCCATCAGAACCAGGGCTTGTATCTTGGGGGAAAGTATATGCTGTGGAAGGAATGTGCTGAGGGAATGCTCCAGGATGTCACAGCCTATGATTTCTGCAACAGCATCAAGGGTTGTTTTAAGGGAAAGAAAATAGGTGTTTCCACATAAACAATAATACAGCAACTAGACATTTAGAGGCATTCCCAGAATAAGGGTTAGTCAGAAGTCACATGGTGGATTAACATTTAAGTCACTCTTCTCCAAACTGGTCTTTATTAAACTCATTTGAAAGGCAAATAATAATAATAAAATTTAAAACTCTTGTCCCCACAGTGGTGCATATGTATTTGTTGTATGTGCCTCTCTGAATGTTTAAACTCATTTACAGTTAAAGTTGGCTTTTTCTTATTTGATCCTTCGTTCCACATAACCACCTGCTTGGTTTCCTTCAGGGTATAAGCCTGGATGACTTGTAAACCAGCACATCTGAAGGATTTAGGGGAAGGAATAAGGAGCATTGATGCTCCCTAGGGTGAGAAGCCGATCCAAGCCCAAGAAAGAAGGGAGGGACCCAGCATGGTAGCTCACGCCTGTAATCCCAGCACTTTGGGAGGCCAAGGTGGGAGGATCACATGAGGCCAGGAGTCGAGACCAGCCTGAGCAACATAGTGAGACTCATCTCAACAACAAAAATAATAATTTTTAGAAATAAAAAATAAAAGAAAAATTTAAAAAAGAAAAAAAGGTCTTGGCACTATCAGAATCAAGCAAAGCATTGCCACTCCCCAGAAATGCCTTTTAAGACTCCAATTAAAAAGAAGGGAGGGAAGGGGAGCAAAGGGCCTCCTGCAGATGAGGAGTGTAAGTAACTATTTGCAGGAGTTGGTGGAAGGATATTACTAATTTTTGCTAATAACTTTTAGTAAAACCCTAGTAATTTTGGAAAAACATACTTTTTTTAACAAACTTTTTTTTTGACATGGGGGTCTCTGATGCAGTGGTGTGATCATAGCTCACTGAAGCCTCAAACTCCTGGGCTCAAATGATCCTCTGTCCTTAGTCTCCCAAGTAGGGGGGACTACAGGTGCATGCCACCATGACCAGCTAATTTTTGTATTTTTAATAGAGATGGGGTTTCACTAGGATGGTCTCCATCTCTTGACCTCGTGATCCACCTGCCTTGGTCTCCCAAAGT